GGCGCTGGGCGCCTGGGGCGCGGTGCAGGCCACCGCCGCCGGCGGCGGCATCGCGCTGGGCGGCGCCTTGCGCGACGGCGTCTCGCACCTGGCCGTCTCCGGCCTGCTCGGCCCGGCGCTGAGCGACCCGGCGGTCGGCTACTCGCTGGTCTACCACCTGGAAATCCTGCTGCTCTTCGCGGCGCTGGCGGCGATCGGGCCGCTGGTGCGCGCCGGCGGCGGGGTCCAGCGCCTTTCGACACCCACCACGACCAGGTTCGGCCTGGCCGAATTCCCGGGGTGAGCGCCCCGTCGCTTGATCAAGGAGGTCAGGGTCCATGTCCGCCAACATCACCGGCCATATCGATGTGGCCCAGGTCGTGCTTTACACCTTCTGGCTGTTCTTCGCCGGGTTGATCTTCTATCTGCGCCGGGAGGACCGGCGCGAGGGCTACCCGCTGGAGTCCGAGGTGACCGGCAAGCCCTACGACGAGGACTCCATCCTGATGCCGAGCCGGAAGGTCTTCCGCCTGGCCAGCGGCGAGCAGACCGACTCCATGCGCCGCGACCGGCGCGAGATCAAGCTGACGCCGACCCAGGGCTGGTCGGGCTCGCCCTTCGAGCCGACCGGCGACCCTATGGTCGACGGCGTCGGCCCGGCCTCCTGGGCCGAGCGGCGCGACGTGGTCGAGCGCACCGCCGACGGCCACGCCAAGATCGCGCCGCTGCGCAGCCTGCCGGACTTCGCCGTCGCCAAGGGCGACCTCGACCCGCGCGGCCTGCCGGTCAAGGGCTGCGACGGCAAGGTGGCCGGCACGGTCAGCGACCTCTGGGTCGACCACGGCGAGCAGATGATCCGCTACCTGGAGGTGGAGCTGGCCGACGGCGGCGAGCCGGCCGTCGGCAAGCTGCTGCTGCCGATGCCCATGGCCAAGCTGACCGGCCACCCGGCGCAGGTCTCCGTGACCTCCATCCGCAGCGACCAGTTTACCGGGGTGCCGCGCACCAAGAGCGCCGACGAGGTCACCCTGCTGGAGGAGGAAAAGGTCGTGGCCTACTACGCGGGCGGCTACCTCTACGCCAAGCCGTCGCGCATGGGCCCCGCCCTCTAGGCACGGGGATAAGGACGGCGGGGTAACCCGCCGGAGACCGCAGGGGTGCCGGCCGGCACCGGAGGAGCGAGACCATGTGCGAGATCGAGATCGAGGAAATCCCGGGCCTGCCCGGCAAGCTGCCCGCCGGCGAACGCCTGCTCTGGCAGGGCCGGCCGCGCTGGCAGGCGCTGGCCCGGCGCACCTTCAAGACCCGCTGGGTGGCCGGCTACTTCGCGGTCTTCGCCGTCTGGTGGAGCGTCTCGGCGGCGGCCGAGGGGGCGCCGCCGGCGGCGGCGGCGCTGGAGGGGCTGGCGCTGCTGCCGATCGCCGCGCTGGCGCTCGGCCTGCTGGGCCTGCTCGCCTGGCTGACCGCGCGGACGACGATCTACACCATCACCAGCCGGCGCGTCGCGATCCGCTACGGCATCGCCCTGCCGATGACCGTCAACCTGCCCTTCGCGCGGATCGGCTCGGCCGACCTGCGCGCCGAGCGCGACGGCTCGGGCGACATCGTGCTCAGCCTGCTCGGCCGCGACCGCCTGGCCTACCTGCACCTCTGGCCGCACGTGCGGCCCTGGCGCTTCACGCGGGTGCAGCCGATGCTGCGCGGCCTGGCCGAGGTGCGCCAGCCGGGCCGCATCCTGGCCGAGGCGCTGGCCGCCGCCCTGCACGAGCGGCAGGCCGCGGCCCGGGCCGAAGCCGCGGCGCAGCCCGAGGTGAGCCGAATCAACGACCCGCGCCGGCAGCCGGCCGAGGCCGGGGCTGAGGCTGCGGCCGAGGCGGTCCCCCTGCGGATCGCCGCGGCCGAGTGACGCCGGTCACGGCGCGCGCGACGCGCAGAGGACAGCAGGAAAGGAGCCTGCGGCCATGACAGCCCAGATCCATTCGGGGGCCCATTCGGGGACCCCTTCGGGCCAAGCCCCGCACATCCACCACCACAAGCCCTTTCCCAAGGCGATGCTCTGGGCCGCGGCCGCGCTGATCAGCTTTTCGATCCTGGTCGCCCTGGCCGGGCGGATGACCGGCTTCGGCACGGTGAGCAACCCGACGGCGACGCCGCGCGCGGCCTACGACCTGACCTTCGCCGACACGGCGGCCGGGGCGGTGGCGATCGCCGACGCCGTCAGCGGCGCGCCGGTGATCGCGCTGGAGCCGGGCACCAACGGCTTCGCCCGCGGCGTGCTGCGCGGCCTGGCGCGCGACCGCAAGCTGGAAGCCATCGGCCGCGCCGCGCCCTTCCGCCTGACTAGCTGGTCGGACGGGCGGCTGACCCTGCGCGACGTGGCGACCGGCCGCGAGGTCGAGGTCAACGCCTTCGGGCCGACCCAGATCGCCACCTTCGCGCGGATCCTCGAGGCCGCGGCGGCCAAGCTGCCGCCGCTGACGCCGGCGCAGCTCGCCGCGCAGGCGCCGGCGGCCGCAACGGGGGAGGGCGCACGATGACCACCGGCCTGTTCCGCCGCCGCGTCGAGGTGCCCTGCACCGTCGAGGTGGCCAACACCTTCGAGAGCCTGCACGCCCATGTCGAGTTGGCGGCCGAGCGCGACCTGCGCCCGGGCGACGCGGTGCGGGTGCACGGCCCGGCGATCCGGGCCGCCGACGGCGAGACCTTCACCCTGGCGCGGCGCGCCACCGTGACCCGCGCCGGCTGGCTGCGGCGGGCCTGGACCCGCCTGGTCGGCCATCTGGAGTTCATGGAGCTGCTGGACATCAGCTTCAGCGACAGGAGGAAGCTATGAGCAGCCGCGCCGCGCGCCGCATCGCCCCCGCCGACAACGAGTACGTCACGGCCGAGCTGGCCAAGAACGGCATCGCGCCCGAGGCCGCGCGCGCGCCCAACGCCGCGACGCTGGCGGCGCAGGAGGACACGCTGCTCTCGCCGCGTTTCTACACCACCGACTTCGACGCGCTGGACGCCGTCGACGTGAGCCCGGTGCGCGCCGAGTGGGACGCGCTGATCGCCGAGCTGGCGGCCGACGGCAACAAGCGCCACTTCAAGCGCGACCCCGACTGGGCGGCGGAGATCCGCGCCCTGCCCGAGGAGCTGCGCCGGGAGTTCATGGACTTCCTGATCTCCTCCCTAACGGCGGAGTTCTCCGGCTGTGTGCTCTACGCCGAGATGCGCAAGCGCGGCACCAACCAGGACATCATCGACCTGTTCAAGTACATGAGCCGCGACGAGGCGCGCCACGCCGGCTTCATCAACGACGCGCTGAAGGACTTCGGCATCGGCGTCGACCTGGGCTTCCTGACCAAGACCAAGACCTACACCTACTTCCAGCCCAAGTTCATCTTCTACGCCGTCTACCTCTCGGAGAAGATCGGCTACGCCCGCTACATCACCATCTTCCGCCACCTGCAGCGCCATCCGGACAAGCGCTTCCACCCGATCTTCAAGTGGTTCGAGCAGTGGTGCAACGACGAGTTCCGCCACGGCGAGGCCTTCGCCCTGCTGATGCGGGCCAATCCCCACACCCTGCGCGGCCTCAACAAGCTGTGGATCCGCTTCTTCCTGCTGGCGGTCTTCGCCACCATGTACGTGCGCGACCACTCGCGCCCGGCCTTCCACGCCGCGCTGGACCTGGACATCGACGACTACGACATGCAGGTCTTCCGCATCACCAGCGAGATCTCCAAGCAGGTCTTCCCGCTGACCCTCGACCTCGACAATCCGCGCTTCAAGGCCCTGATGGACCGCCTGTTCCGCACCGCCCAGCGGATCGACCGCGCCAAGCGGCGCGGCGGCCTGGGCGGCGCGCTGGCCCGCCTCGGCCTGGCCGGGGTGGCGGCGGCCACCGTGGCGCAGCTCTACCTGCTGCCGACCAAGCCGAACACGCCGCCGGCCGAAAGCCGGCTGGCGCCGGCCTGGTGAGGGAGGGGGCGCCCGCGCCATGACCGAGTTCGCCGCCCCGGCCCTCTTCGCGCTGTTCCTCTGGTGGTGGTCGACCGGGGCGATCCTCTGGCTGGTCGGCCTGCCGCGGCGCAGCCACCCCTGGTCCATGGCCGCGGCCAGCCTGCTGCTGCTGCCGCTGGCGCTCTGGGGCCTGCTGGCCAGCGGCGGCGAGACCGGGCTGCTGGGCGCCTACCTGGGCTTTTCCGGCGCTGTCGGCGTCTGGGCCTGGCACGAGATGAGCTTCCTGTTCGGCTATCTCACCGGCCCCAACACGCGGCCCTGCCCGCCGGGCGCGCGCGGTCTGGCGCGGCTGCGCGCGGCCACGGCCACGGTGATCTACCACGAGCTGGCGCTGGCGCTGACCGCCGGGCTGCTGGTCTGGGCGCTGTGGGACAGCCCCAACCAGGTCGGCGTCTGGACCTTCCTGTTGCTCTGGGTGATGCGGCTCAGCGCCAAGCTCAACGTCTACCTCGGCGTGCCCAACATGACCGAGGAGTTCCTGCAGCCGCACCTGGACTACCTGACCAGCTACTTCCGCAAGGGCCCGGTCAGCCCGCTGTTCGCGCTGGCGGTGACCGGTGGCACGGCCCTGGTCGCGGGGATGGCCTGGCGCGCGCTTGACCCGGCGACGCCGCCCGGCGAGACGGTCGGCCTGGTGCTGGCCGGCACGCTGCTGCTGCTGGCGGTGATCGAGCACTGGTTCCTGGTCCTGCCGCTGCGCGATGCGGCACTTTGGCGCTGGGCGCTGCGCGAGGCGGCGCCGGGTCTCACTTCTCCGCAGGAGGGCGCGCGGCCGGCGCGGCCGGGCGCGTCGCCCTGCGGCGGCGCGGGCGC